AGTTAGAGTTAGAATCCATGAAGCATGAGTTTGTTACAACAGAAAAAGGGCGAAAAATGAAAAAATTTTGTTGTACCTATAACTCGTTGCAAAATAGCGTTGTAGAAGTAAAAACCTTGCTGCAGGTAGTCCTAAACTTTCTATATGGAACGGTAGGTATATCATAAGTAAGCGTCCTCTTGGATTTCCATAAATATCCTTCGAAGTCCTTGCAGCACAGCCTCACTAATGGAGGAGATGGGAAATCAACCAGGTATTGGGCCGGTAATCAATAGCAACATCAACTAGCCTACGCCCCCGTTTCCAATCCCTTTCATTTACTCTATTATCTATGGTCATACCATAGATATTAGAGTACAAAAAGTTAACTAACTTTTTGTACTCTACTATACTATGGTCATACCATATCAATGGGTCAGGGACAGGAAGTACATGCCAGACGACTCCTCCAACAATGCCAGACTCAGGTCAGTGATACTATATCTTTTCCTTCTAGTATATTTATCCTTTTTCGAATCTTCAGGGTGGTTGGGTATTATTACAGAATGGCCACTTGGCATTGGATTTCATGGATGAGCTACTCAACACTATAGTTGAGACACAGTTGGTCCATGAGACCTTTCGGCTGTGGATGACAATTGAAATACATCCCAAGTTCCCTATTAACCTCCTTCAGATTTCTATCAAGTACACGTTTGAGCCTCCCCAGGGGGTAAAGGCTGGACTCAAGAGAACATATTCTAGCATGACGCAGGTAACATCAATTCAATAATAATTATCTCTTTACTTTATAATGAATTTTTAAAATTAGTGTTGTTCTCCACAATGATGTGACTCGAATGAATAAAGAAGATGTGACCACCCCTCCTCAAGAAGGTGTGTACATACAGGGTCTATTTATGGATGGAGCTGGTTGGGATCGTAAGAACTCCAAGCTTGCTGAGCCCACCCCTAAAGTGCTTTATGTCACCATGCCTATTATTCATGTATATGCCATCAACACCAAAGGGGCAAAGGATCCTAAACTATACGTGTGTCCTGTGTATAAGAAACCCCGTCGTACTGATCTAACTTTTATTACCGCACTCTATTTAAAAACCACTCAGAATCCAGACCACTGGGTGATGAGAGGTGTAGCTCTCCTTTGTGATATTAAATAACTTTGTATTATTAAGTTTATTGTAGAGACTTATTATTTTAGTGCTAGTGTATGGTACACATATAATAACTTATTGTAGAACTGTCATTTTTGAATGGGCATGATCCATTGTGTTTCATTTTGATTGCCTTGTTTTGGAGTTTGCATTTGCAGAGCTGCTGGTTATTTCAATTATATAATTTCACTAAAAATCACTTGAAAAATAACCTGAATAAAAAAATATAACTATTGGGAAAAAATCCTAGCAAAAAACTACTGCACTACAAAACTGAACGAATAAAAATGTTCTGAG